TGTCTATTCGTAGATCTGCTGTTGTGGCTGCTGGAAGAGGAAGATCGTAGTGACAAGACGCGACGCGCAGGGAATGGGTCAATTGGAAAACTCGGTGGTAAAGCGCGTGTAGAAGACGAGGTCGCACGCAAAGTTACGAAGGTAAAGTCGAAGGAAAACGTGAAATGAGTATGCAACCATCACGGCAGCTACCGGAGCTCAGTCCGTGGGTATGACGTTGGTATGGGGAATTATTTAGCATGGTGGGGCGTGCCAGGGACGTGTTGGAGCTACCCCACCATATGCGCTACACGCGCCTTGTCATGCTTCGACGCGCATAGTAAGCCTTGGTCATCGCATTGTTGAGAAGCTTGAATGTAAGATGGCTTCGAGTACATGGTGAGCGCATTCACTTCTGCAAAAGGAAAGAGAAAGTGGCGCGAATGTAAGAGACGAGCGTGAGGTATCTTGGCTAAGATTTGGTGTAAAAGTAGAACTGCTCCCAGTTTGAAGATGCCTGGGCAGATATAGACGCGAAGGCATCTGCTACCATCTATCTAGACGCGTGTGAAAGCCGAATCATCCCATCACTCCGCTACAATGGCATCATTTGGCACGCACTGGAAATACCATTCTAACAAAGATTAGTTTCGTGGCAGAAGAACGATGCATTAGTGTCCACATACCGTTCTGTTCCACGCATGTTGAGCCTTTTTCGCAAACCGTGCAGCCGTCCCAAGGCTTAGTGTAATCCCAGCCTCCGCACTTGTAGTAAGCAGGCACAGGGCATCTCGTGCTGCTTGGGCCAGTCTCCTCAGTGGTAGTCTTTGTGGGCTTCTCGGTAGACTTTGTACTCGTCTTGATAGTGGTCTAAGTAGCTTAGTATGCATTCGCGATGAGAGACTACAATGACTGACCTTTGTCGGGGTTGGCTCTGGCTTCTTGCTTGTCGTGGGTGGTTCGGGCTTCTTGGTCGTAGTGGTCGACGTTGGCGCTGGCTTCGTACTTGACTTGGGTGGTTCGGGCTTCTTTGAAGTGGTTGTAGGTGTTGGCTCAGGCTTCTTGCTTGATGTGGTCGGCTCAGGCTTCTTGGTTGTTGTCGTTGTAATCTTGCTAGTCGTTGGCTGTGGCACACCCGATGTAGGTCGGCTGATGTTGTCGGTGCAACGACCTCCAATGCATGTAATGATGTACGTCTGGCGTGGCACGATGTCGACATGATTGTTTGCTGGCGCCTACTTCAAGTCAGTATGTACTACCATTGCGAGTATCGAGCTACTTGCCGCAAAGCATACTGCCGAAAGGCTTGTCAAAAGCGCAAGCGTGGTGAGCTGCATGGTGATCTGATAGTCGGATAATGATATATTCTTGAACGAAGATGCTGCACCAGGTGAGGAGCCTGAATCAATGGGACACCGACCGCATCTTATACCCACGACCTTATGCTACTAGTCGATTCAAGTCTAGGAAGTCAACGACAGGCTCAATGATAGCTTCGTGGCTTCTGATCTGAACACCCGCGGCTCCATTGTAGACATGCAGTCTGGCCAGGGCCAAGCTCAGATACGAGGCCATCCCAATCTGCTCTTGCATTCGCCTATATTGTGGCTAGCGAGTTTGTGTGCCATTGTGACGGTACAGGCAATGTCAAGCATGGCGAGATCTCACCCAGTCAGCCAAACACGACAAAGCACTCAAGAAATGCATTTGGAAGCCTTGGGAAGATAGAATGCGCTGCAATCTATGGAGGTATACGCGATCGTTGCTGTGTATTGCAGAGCTTTTCTTAGACGGGTTACCCACGATACAGAGTTACAAGCCTTGCACGAAAAGCCCTTGCCTAAAGGAAAATCGAGGCTCGCCTGCGTTCCGAGATGCTTCGCGACTGTCCTTGATGCTATTCTTATCCATGGCCACGATTATAGACTGGGGTACGTTTTAGCCGCAAATTGACACCCAGTTGACCCATGTCCCAACACCAGACTCGCACTCACTCCAGAGCGATCGTGATTCGTTTCCCTTCTCATATGGCGAGAGGATAGATTGTTCGATACAAGCAGTGAGACTGGTTGCCGGAACACTTGACGGGAAACCCGCACGACGCTTGAGACGATCACAGGATTGTGCCGTAATCCGGGGGCGGATAATTGAGATGCAGAAAAGTGGGCTTGTCGCATGCTGGTCCAGATTTTGGGGTTGACACTGCTCGAGAAGGCTCTAGGCGAGTGCTGGTAGTAGTGCTTTAAGAGGCACATGGGTAAAATGAACGGTAGTTACTGTCCGTGGCCGGAGGTAGTACCTGATCACTCACCGCCTGCTACATTCTGTTGCTGAGTACCATTTCCCAGAAGGTCTCCAACACCGATCCACTTCCTCACAAGGAAGGCGCCCTGCGGCCTCAGCTTCCTGTAGTATCCCTCTTCTCTCTCGAGTATCTCAAAGTTCCGCTTCTTGTACCATTCCATGCCTTCCTCGTTGGCCTCCCACACATGTGCTGTGACACAGCGTACACTGTGAAGCTCGACGGCTTTCTTTACTATCGTCTGTAGAAGATGCATAGCGATGCCGTGCGAGCGGTAGGGGGCCAGGACGCCAATAGTGGAGATGTATAGGTTCGAGGAAGGAAGTATGCGACATCGGACGGCACCGACGAGATGCGGTTTCTCTGTGGACGAGGATGAGTCGGTATTCGTGGGCGACGAGTGCCATACGGCTACGAGGGTAATGCTGTAGTGTGGATCGGTCATGGTTTCCTTGTAAAAGGTCTCTGGGTAGGATATGGGTAAAGTGAGGGTATTCAGACGCTTGAATGCTGGTAGTAGATCTTCGGTGAGGGGCACGAGTTGCACGTTCTGTGGTAGCGGGCGTAGGTCGAAGAGCTTCGGGATGGCTGGCTGTTGGGTAGAGAGGGAGATGGGTGAAGGTATGCGCGAGATAGCAGGCGTGACTGTTCGGGAAGGACGAGGACTTTTCTTCGATCGCGGTCTTGAGGGTGCTTGAAGGAAGTCGTCGGGTATGTCGTTCCAGTTCTCCATGTTCGAAGGCGTAGGGGTCGGGTTAGAGGGAACGCGCGTCGGCGCAGAGACAGACTTTGGGGGAGGCGGCGGCCGGTTCGTCTTTGATGATGCCATTGGCGGAGCGTTTGAGGGCGGCGCAGGTTGTTTATCGAGGCTTGCCTTCTTCAGCCAGCTGTTCAAGGAGGACTGCATCGCGGGAGGAGAGGGGCTGGGTTGGCTGTGATGGTGTCGTCGAAGGTCGTGGTTTGGGTAATGATAGCCAATGGATGGTCACGTGGATAACAGCGAGTTGCTAAAGCTGTATACTCGCGATGGGCTGTGAATTGTCAAGTAATGGAAGCGCAACCCACAAACACAAACATGAGGGGAGACTTCTGGTGTTTCCCTGACGCGCCCTCGGATCGTTTGCAGGGATGCTTCCTAGCGTGCTTTCGTCGGCCAAGCCGTCAGCTCCGACTTCTTGCAGGAACAGCATCATCGCCCTAGAAATCCCCAGGAGCCACCACCGCAACCATGGGCGCCGAGAACTCGAAACCCTCGTCAGAGGTCAAGCAGCATGTCTTCTCCTCGTACGTCGCATCTTCCACCTTCAATGGCTCTAGCCCCTCATAAGAGATGAATCAACCAGTGACGTCGTGTGCTGATAATTTGCGCGCAGAGATCACCCCTACAGCTTCTCCAATGAACTCGTCGGATCGCTGGAGAAGAACACTTTCGTACGTCCAATGGCTCAAATGGGCGAATTGGGGCTAACACACGTGCAGACAGACTCGGCGCGATCAAGACAGCAAGAACTCCAGTACCAGGAACGCCTAACCGCCGAGCTCGAGAAGCTGCGCGAGCAAGAAACCCAGAACTTCTCCAAGTTCAGCGAAACCCTCTCCACCGAGACCCCACAGTCCGATGAACCCTCCCTAGTCGAGAAGATCCAGGATGTGACGTCCAGCAGCTCCACCCTCGCCGAGAAGCAAAGACAAAAGGACATGAGCAGGGACAGTGTCACCAAGGAGATCGAGCAGTTGAAGGCGAAGCTCGAGCAGAGGAAGAAGTTGGAGCAGGCCGATGCCGATGTCACCAAGGCCAAGGAGGCTGTCGTCTCATGTCTGCGGACACACGACCGCCGACCGCTGGATTGCTGGAAAGAAGTCGAGACCTTCAAGCAGGAGGTCGGACGCCTGGAGAAGGAGTTTGTACAAAAGACCATCCGATGAGCCACGACGCGAAATCATGACAGTGAGGTTTGGTACGGCGTCGTTGTATAGTTGGGTTACGTGGGATATAGCATCCTCGAGGGCATTTCTTATCTCCAAATCCCTACATTACTTACCACCTTGCAACTTGCTGAGCGAACCGCTATTATACTACCTATGTGGAACTGCTGCGGAATCTTTAGTGGAGTATTCTTATGACTACTGGATTGCGTCTCTTTTCATTGTCGGTTCCTTCGGTCATCACAACTATCTTCTATTCCTTGCACATTTTGAGAGATTGATCTCACATTTTACGTATGTTTGTCCATGGCTTTGGCCACCAGTGGACGAGCATCACCTTTGCATCGCAATTTTCATCATCACAACTCGCCTTCGCCGCGCGTCAGGACGCGCGAGTTCTTTAGGCTGCCTATGCCATCTGCAATAAAACTGGCCTACAGCTCACCTTCCCCTTCGGGCGTCTACCAGACTCACCTTCACCGTTGATGCCTTGGCGCTTTGGCCTATTAGTTAAAATAACAGCACAGTGTCTCTCGCAGTTTCGACTACTCACTACCACGCAAGCAGCCTTTAATCGGCGGCTGCAGCAACACCTTGCCTGCCTTTCTGTTACCCCTCGCAACTCGCAAGCTGCAAGAAATCTCCAGCTATCGTTGCTCGCGCGCATTGTAGCAACTGCCTAGTCACGACTTCGTGCAAAAGGCAACTGCCAGGTACGTCGCGTGGATCGTCGCGCCTTCCACTCTAACTTTCATGATTGTGTCGCAAATACTAACTAGCAGCAGCAGACAACATGTCGTCAACACAACCCTACATCGTACCCGATGACTATAACGAGACCTGGAACGATGACGACAGTGATATCGAGCTTCTCGACTATGGTGAGTCGCTACTTCTTCGTTCAACTGGATTCATTGACTGATATTTAATATCCAGATTCCGAGTCCGATCTTGAGATCACCGCGGTCAGTTCTCGTGAGGCGTCTGCTACACCAACCACTCCGAGCTCGAACGAGGGAAAGAGCCGCACGCGCCAACCTCCCCCAAGCAACGACATATCTCTACCGGATGTTGCGATACAGACATACAAGATCAGCACAAGTTTCGTCATAAAGCCGGGCGATACCGTAGAGTTGAAAGATCGTTCGAATCAAGATGAGGGTGCTATGCATTCGGGAGATTTTCTTCGTGTCAAAACCATCATTATGAACCTGGAGACGGACGAGGTACGACTCCGAGGTTGGCGAATGCGACGCACTAAATACCTTGGCCAGATCTTCGATTGTGAGTACGACAGAGACAGCCTTGAGGACCTATACTGACTTCTCTCAAGGGAAGATGAACGAGTTGGGCATGGTCCTCCGTCTTGACGAAGATGATCGTAGATCGCCTTTTGTCGCGGGCATGGAAGACGTCGAAATCGAAGAGGTTGACCGAGCGCGCGAGTGTACGCTGACCAACAAACCTTATCCGTTCCTCAGCTTCCGATCCGAGGGTCGTGCTGCATGGCCGAATAGTATGAGTAAGGACGACATCAAGAAGCAAATATTCCACGGTGGCAGGCTCACTTGCCGTGTTGTCAACATTCTCTACATGAGCGGCACCAGATCGAAGCCATACGGCGGTATTGTTCGTCATCTATATACCCACGAGGCGGATGCAACTGCGACTCCAGCTCCCACTCAGGGTCCCGGTTTCTCTCGTGAGACGTCGATAGCGATAGAAGATTCTAAAGAGCCTGGCTACGTTGTCGTGAGCGAGGAGCCTTCCGCGAAGAAGCGGCGTGCACGCGATGAGTCTCCTGACTTCGAGATCTTGGACCATGAGCCATCAAAACGAAAGATTCGGCATCCTTCGAAGCAGGGCCGTCTGGTATTCGGCGACGTATTCTGCGGAGCTGGAGGTGCAAGTCAAGGCGCGGCCCAAGCCGGGTACTATGTTCAATGGGGTCTCGACAATGATAAAGACGCGTTTGCTGCATACCGCCTGAATCATCCTGGCGCGTACGCATGGAAGATGAATGCGCATGACTTTCCGCCAAACGGTATTAGTAAGGAGAGCTGGAAAGTCGATGTGCTTCACCTCTCGCCTCCTTGCTGTTACTGGAGCCCCGCACAGTAAGAGAACATTTTCATAATAGGATCATCTACTAATAATTAGTAGTACCAGAGACGGACCTAAGGATCAAGAGAACTACGAAGCCATCTACACCGTTGGTCCGATCCTTAACAAGGTCAAACCGCGTGTCGCAACCCTGGAGCAGACGTTTGGCCTCGCGACGCACGAACAGCATAAGAGGAACTTCCTTATGCTCTTGTACGACATCGGTAAAGCCGGCTACGATGTCCGCTACAAGATCCAGGACCTCTCGCAGTACGGCCTCGTGCAGAAGCGTAAGCGATTGCTCATCATTGCTGCCAGGTCAGTCACAGAGGTCCTAGTATCTCCATGCTTTTCATGCTAATAGATGCCAGACGGGGTACGCCTCTCCCTCCCTTCCCAAAGCCCACGCATGGCGCTTCAGGAACTGGTCTAAAGCCCTTCGTGTACATCGACGATGCCCTCACACACATTACCCGCCAGGGCAGCCGAGCTATGAACGATCCTTACCATCAGCCTAAACTGTTTCCCATCCCTAAACCAGCCTACGATGCGCGGACTTTCCTCCGCGGCTGTATAACGACCGGCGGTACAACAGCCTGCCATCCTTCGGGCACACGCAACTTCACACCTCGCGAACTCTCTCTGTTCCAGAGCTTCCCATACGTGTATGAGTTTACTGGTGCCAATGGTGAGGCCACGAAGCAGATAGGCAATGCCTTCCCACCAATCATGGCCCAAGCAATTTACCAGACTATTGCAAAAACTCTAGAAGCCTTTGAAAAGGGCCTTATCGGAGCAGAAGATGACCTCTCTGATCTGGATTTGATTCTGGAACAGAGCGGTGAGAGCGCTCCTCAACAGCGACGGCTCGACAGCTTCACCGGAAGCGCAACACCCTCCAGATCTTCTCGAACTGCCAGCTCTAGGATGGCGAGAGCTACTGAGTCGCGAACTGCATCGCCTTCCACGCGCCATACGGCAGAGTCGATGCAACCACGACGCAGGAATGCAAGCGGCTTTCCGTCTTTGAATCTCCTCGATGGGGTGCTGGATGGCATCAGTAATTACGCGAACAGGAGCACCGCTTCCGCCAGCAGGTCCACCGGACGACGTCGCGAACCTAGTATTCCAGGCGATGATGACGAAGTCATCCATATCCCCAGCGACAGCGAATGAGCTTCTGAGATTCTATCTGAAGATGAGGGAGTCTTTACTGCGCGAATTGATCTCATGGATATTCGGAAGCTGCGCCGCCTTAATTTACTTGGGCAGGAGCAATCTCTGAAACATCGAGTCATGTGCATTGAAGCAGTCGGGTATCGTGACAAGCTACACGCCATCTGTGTGAATACAGTTCGTTTCACATCTAGGTTGCAAGGATAGTCTGTGAGGAACTTCTACAGCGAAGTACGTGCATACTACGTTTTCCTAGTTCCAAGTCACAGTCAACTTGTATATAGAATACTCAAGATGTTTCCACTTCTTGCCCTAGGTATATGCGTGACAAGATGTGTTACACGCGATGTTGGCTGCTTTCCTTCCTATCCATGGATCTCGAGAGGGTGCGACAATGCTCGATCTTGATAACGCGCCTCACTAGCTCCATCGCGTCATAGCACACCATGTATCCGTAGAATGTCTAGGAGAACACTCCGTACACTCCAAACTGCCCAGGTGAGGCCTTTATGCGCACAGCCTCCTACTGGTGGACATAATCGGAATATCCTGCGGGATACTAATCGGGCCTGACCACAAGATAGACAAGAGTAGAGCACAAGGCTACCGAAAGAGGTAGTTTGAGAGACATACGCTATTGTCCCGACCCCCAAGCCAAGCGCTCCCCAGACTGCATGTGTGAAGCACAAGGCCGTCATACCGTGAGCGATACCGACTCCCAGAGGCCAGGAACAACATCCGGACCGGCCAATTCCTAAGTGGACGCCGCTTACCCAAAAGCTTAATTGCGACCCAAGCCCGAGCAAACCCAGGTTTGATATGCTGTCACCCCCATCTACAGGATCATCTCGCGAACCTGGGGCTACAGGTAACGAAACCGCGTAATGAGCATACGCCGTACTGCCCATCCCCCAAGCACCGACGTCCGCCCGTCTTATGGTAAACATCTTACGATTCTGACCTCATTGCGTCCAGGGTGCCAAACTTTGCAACACCGACGCTCTGTCCTCCCTCTCCCGCACCAATGGTCTCACCGGCAACTGGCAGAAACACGACGCGACCAGCATGACCCATGTTGAGCATTTCACCTTCTTTCCAAAATCTTACATGGCCGTGGTACATGCGTTTACCCTGCGTCCGCCAAAATACACGTGCTTACCTACATTGGCATTTCTGACGACCGCCCATGCTCATGTTGTGATGGTGATGGACATGTGCTAGCCTCGCTTCTTCTCTTCGTGATAACGGAAGCGAAAAAAAGAAAAACAAAGAGGAGAAATTAAAAAGAGGGCAGCGAATCACGTCGTTTCGGTACGCCTTCCGTATGTAGCGCGCGAGAGGGCAGGAAGAAAATCCAAGATAGATTGCTTGCTCCTGTCGACCCTCTCGGCCAAGTTGATGGATTTAGATTGCGAAGTTACATGCACGACAAATGCATCCAAAGGCGGTTTTTCTCGCTTTTCCTTTCTGCTTGGAGAGCGGGACCTGCGATCGGACCGTTTGTGATGGTAAGCGCCCCTCCCCGCCTCGTCACGAGAGATGATGTGGGCTATGCAGGTTGATTGAGGAGGTGCCTGCGGAGTTGGATCCGGTTACACACCGCTATCTATTGCTTGGTTCAAAGCGTCTTTTTTGTTGCCCTTCCATTGGGCTTTTGGTGCGGTTTGCTGGCAGGAAGTGTCGACGTTGCTGCCCGGGCGGTCTTGGTACGTCGTCATATGAGGGAGGGTCGGGGGGTGCGATGGGAGCGGAGCGGAGACAGAAGCCGGACGGAGGGGTATATCGACGATGCGCATGCAAGATAAGTGGGATGATGGACGTTCAGGGTCCGATTGTCGTTCGGAGAGACCCAACGATACGCCCATGCCAATGCCAATGCCATGACACGGGGAAGTCTCTTCGGTGGCTTGCCGCATGTCAGATTTGTTTCCATGGTTCGCTCGTATACTGGATGGTTTGTTTCGACACGGCTCGTAGCTTGGGATCGTCTTTGTTCGACAAGCGCGCCAGGTGTGCGATGAGTAGCGGTAAAGAGGAGACCACATTCAGGCCCAAAGTCAGGTCAGGCGATGGCTCGTCGGTGCATGACATTGCATGAGTGAGGCACAACGCCCTTTCCGGTTCAATGGAACTAGAGACGAGTGTGGAGCCGACTTGAGCGTCTCCCTCGTTTATCATTCGCGTGGAACTGTTCTTCCCGACCCTCTAGTGCTGATCTTGCTAGCGTGCCATGTGCGTTCCCGCTTCTGTTTCTTGTATCTTACCTGCTGTGGCTTTGTTGTGATGCCGAGCGTTTGAGCCTTGCGCGGCATGGTAGATGCACGCCGCGCCGTCGAATCGCATGTGAATATCTAGTGCTGCAGCTAGAGTATCTACTACAGCGGAATTTCGCTAGTTGGTCGATACAGCGGGCTGTGCTTCAGGTCTTGAGGCTGTTTGGAAGGTCAACGAGGGTGGACCTCGGGCGTGCGTCGAACAAAGGACAGCAAAACGGCGCTGTTTTACGGGGTGTGTGCCGGAGTCTTCGGCCGACAGGTACTGAGTTGTTCGGAACAGCAGGAAACGAGTGCAAGTCTGCCCGACTGGAGTTAAGATAGCCCGGCTTGGTTACCCAGGACAAAGGAACATGCCGATTCGGCAATCAAGCGGGAAAAAAAGCAAGGGATCAACTTTGACATCAACTCTCCACTTGCACACGATGCCGCATATTCGCCGTGTGGGCCGTTTGGGGCATCACCAACGCTCTTCTTGAGACTTGTATCAGACAGGCGCGGACTAACTCTTCCGCGCTCGCCCGTGGAAACACTCTAGAACAAGACTTGGAACCTAGCGCATCCGACATGCGAGACTACGCTTCTTGGACGTCTGTTCTCAATCGAATAAACCTTCTTTTCAATGTTTCTAGAAACACACCATGGCCGCGCTACCGGACTTTCTCCCTGACATATCGGGGCGTCTGCTTCGTGCCTGCTAGCCAGCCGCTCGACATGCCCTCCGGAGCCTTGCCGAACCGCCTTGAGCACCTACCATAGTTTCATCACCTTCTACACCGGTACATTGGGCGCAAGGATGTCTGCAGCCGAACGCCTCAGTCCTTCCACATGATCCTTGCGAACATCGATGATCTGCACGTCAATCGCGTCTTTGGACGGCAGAGCTAGGAGTATTTGGAAGTCTGCATCGTGAGCGCATGGACGTTTTTCTTGCTAAGGGTCTCCTAAGGCCGTTGCCAGTGAAGGGGTTCCTGGCTACACGGCTTCCTAGATAGCTAGGTGGAGCGAGTCAAGTGTAATGAATTCATGGGCTTGCAACAGGATGACGATTACGGAATGGGTCACTTGATGCCGTCTTCGAGAATAAAGACCGGGGGTGTGCGCTGCTGTGGCTGATGTTGATGTTGTGGAAAGCTGCTCACTCTACTATTCCGACTCTCTCTTGATCCATAGGGCTGGCCTTGCTAAGGATCTGAGCCTCATTTCTCGATACGACATATCGGCCCATATCCTTCCTGTCGCCAACTAATCAGTCGAGTCGAGGTACTATAAGTTGACGGATAAAGTCAACTCCTTGAAGACGTCAACCATCATGGCGAAAACAACACGCTCACCGTTCCTGGATATCCTTCCTCCAGAGCTCCGTCTACACATCTACACACACCTTCTCGTCGCTCCGTCATCCATCAAAGGCTCCGTCGCCCGTCAAGACACAAAATACGACCTCCACACAGCCATCCTCCGAACAAACAAACAAATACACCACGAAGCCCGCTCCGTATTCTTCGGCAAAAACACCTTCTATATCACATCCATACCCCCCACTCCCTCCAGGAAAGATGCCATCGACGACCAACAACAAGAAGAAGAAGGATCCGGCGCCTTTGAACCCCCTCTCCAACTCACCGACCTCCCCCTAGTCCGCCATCTCGAAGTCGACCTCATCTACTACCCCACCTCCATGACCACATCCCTAGACTCGCGCGACGGAATCTGGAAACCCGTTTGCACTGGCGCAGACCGCTACACGACTAGTCTATCCTACCTCCTCAGCACCGTCTCGCCCAGTCTGCTCAGTCTGAAGATATGCGCAGACACGCGCCGCTACGTAGGAAGTACTACAGGCCAAGACGCTCATGCCCTCAGCGACAAGTTCAAGGCCGATACCGAGAGATTGCAAGTTCAGAAACTGCTTACGGGGTTTTACATGGCGGATAGTAACACGTTGTTCAAGAAGGCGATGAAGGATTTGCTCGTCAGGGACATTACTTTGCACTTTGATTTTCCGGAGAGCTACTTTGATTTCGTGGTGGGAAGGGAGAGGCTGTGCGGACAGAGCTTGGTCGAATTGGCGGGACAGGTACTGGCGGCTAGGACGGAAATTAGGTTCAAAGCTGCGTTGCAGGAGGTGGGTGTGGGGAGTGAGGTTGCCCAGGCGGGAGTCGTGAATCTGATTCTGTTTCCGTGCTGAGGGATGAGTACGTTTACGAAGGTTGGGTGAATTGGAGGGATCGTTTGGGACAAGCATTTTGGCATGATACCATGATTTGAGAGCACATTGAGCATTTGAGGGCGTTTTTGGTTTATAAAATTTAGATCGGTGGTTGGCATTAGGGGGTACAGGCAGCATTTCAAAGCATCACATTCACATCTCTACATCTGTCCATCGAAGTAACGACTGGTTGATGTAAATAAACAAGCTACCAAGGTTGACGCGTATGACTCGCGATGTAAACAAACGAAAGCTCATCGTTCCTGACCACATCCCTGATCTTTGTCGTATCCTTCATCAATGTCGTAAATCGTGAGTGTCGTCTCGTATCCATACATGATCCAAAATCGCAGTCAAAACCAAACACAGATGGAACACAAGAAGCTCGGGAAGTAAAAGAAATATAATAATACACTCGTAGGGATGTCTACGCTTACCAACGGTCCTCCTCTAGACTCTAATAGTCCCTCCTACGATGGCGCCTCGTTTTCACAGGGCTACCATCACCCTCAGAATCGCTGCTGAAGTAGTCGTAGTCATCGCGACCATAGTCGTATCCATGATCTGGACGGCGATCGCGGTCGCGCCTGTCATCCTTTCGCGAGTCGCGATCGTCGTGTCCGCGCGACTTGGAACGGAGGCGGTCTATCACGCTGCGGCTTCTAGCACGGAGGCTGGGGCCTTTGCTGCGTTCGCGGTCATGCGCACGCGTTCGTGATCGGGAGCGAGAGCGGGACTTGGAATGGCGGTCGCTTCCGCTTCTATGATGGAATTAGAACGAAGACTAGTCAATTGTGTGCGCAAGACTCACCTCGAGCGTGTCGCCATCTGCCTGGCACCCAACGCACCCGCAGCTGCTCCTGCCAGTGTGGTCAGCCTACTTTTACCCAAAGACCTGCCCGCGAGTCCTCCCGCCAACGCACCTCCCACCGAAGCCGCCAAACTCTTTTCGCGCAGATCCATGCCGTCAAATCTATCACGCATTTTAGTCATGCGTGAATCATCGCGACGGGAATCTTTGCTAGAGCGGGACTGATGGGAGTGAGAGTCAACGGACCTAGCCCTGTGGCGATGTTCGCGACGAGGCTTGGTACTCTCACGGCGGGAGGAGCGAGTGTCGGTGTATGCGGCCATTGACTGTTCAGCCGATGGGGGCACGTAGGTCGGGTAGACTGCGCTGGGCACAGGCGCGAAAGTAGGCTGAGAGTTGGAGCGCTGACGGTTGAAGGGCGGGGGAGATGGCTGGTAGCCAGCGCCGCTCGCAGGGAACTCGGTGTGGTGGTAAGGGTTCATAGGGGAATTCGATCCCACTGGCGGAGGAGGGATAGGCGCATCCACAGCGGGCGAGGGAGCGTAGCCGGGGCCGGGAGCGTACCTAGAGCTTCGGGGCGCATCGTACTGGCCATAGTCTAATGAGACATTGCGCGGCTCTGTAGGTGGTGGCTTCGGAGTGTTAGTGAGTGGGCGCTGGAGCAAGGCCGCGAGAGGCGGCTCGTATGACGGAGTGAAAGCAGCAGAAACGGGAGAACCACGAGAAAGCGTGCGAAGTAAATGAGGCTGAAAGGAAAAAGGGGTGGAAGTCGCTGACGTGGTCCGGCTTCGCAACATGGGCGGACAAGAGTTCGCCGGTGTTGGATGCTCGGGCATGGTCGCAAGTGTTGCGCGTCGAAAAGAGGAAAAATTATTTACCTGAGGAGAGTATCCGTAGGCTGGAGTGACAGAAGGGCGGCGGTCCTGCACGGGGCTCGGTGCATATTCCTGCGGATTATAGGGCTTGTATTCGGAAGTGGGCGGAGGAGGGAAGTAAGGCTGTCCCTGCTGAGGTGAGGCCATGTCTCGTGAATCGCTGTGCTGCCCGTCCAGGTCGCTGCTGTGTCGTCCGTGGCGTCCGCGACTCAGACTCCTACTAGCAGTGGTTCCCGTGCTCTTTGCGCGTCGTCGCTCCCTCTTTCGGCGCTCGCGTTCGCGCTCGTAGTCGGTGTCGTCGGTGTAGTCAGAGTACTCTGTCGGCGGGCTGCGCTCTTGCCGGGAGCTGCGCTTACTGGATCGGTCTTCGCTCCGGTGCCGTTGTCTTGCGTCTCGTTCGTTGCGGTTCAGGTGCTTGCCTCTCTTCTTGCCCTCTTTCGAGTCTGGGGGTGCAAAGTAGCCGCCGGGTAACTTGTGGAAGAAGCTGTCGGGAATCTGCTCTGCGCCGTAGCTGATGGCCTTGAAGGCTAGGGCCGCCATGCTTCAGATGGGGGCCGCGAAAGCCGGATGTCGTGATGTGACGTAGGACTGTCTTGCGAGCAGCGCTGTGATTGGAGCGCAGTCGACCGGTCCCAGCGATTCGACGAGGGGGCCTAGTTCCAAAGGTTGGGAGGATAGTCTGCAGCAAGGCCGGATAGCGATAGGCCGGACTACTCAGCGCGCGTTCTGGTGTGTATAAGCGATGTAGATGGTACCTGGAGAGGGTGAGGTGGGATGGCAGAGAATTTGTCTTGAAGAAAGTGCGCGGGGGTGTAGGCGAGGTATAGGATTATAGGATGCGCCGCGGCAAGTGACCTCGACAGATGGCGGCAAGAAGCAATTAGATATGGCAATTGGGTAGCTGCGCTTAAAGACGATGATATAGCTCATTCGGCGCATACGTGCGACGCCGTGGCAGCCGCCTCCTACAAACTGCCAAAATGACGTCGTACGTCATCCGCCTGGCTCGTGCGCCGCTGTCATTGGAGCCGCAACCTGGGGATCGTCGCTTCCTCAGCCTCTCTGGTAGATGAATCCTACGATGCAAAAAGCACCTCGATCAACGGTGATCTTGCAGTCATTCATGCACATGTCCATGTCATCAATGCGCCTTTTTTCTGCTCTTCACTCTTCCCATCGACGCAGCAGCAACAGCAGCACGAATGGCATCTACTGTGGCCTTCGGAGATCATGTTCAATGCAAGGGACGCACGGTCGGCATTACACCTACTCTCCGCGTGTAATCCTACATAGGGTCTGGCCTCCTATGGGGCGGCGGGCCAAGACGATTCGGAATACACATTCCAATCCCCTTGCCCAAAACCGGGTTGCAATTCCTTACAACGCAGGGTATCTACTAGGAATGACCAGGGTGCAGCCTATCGTGACATTGCTGTGCGTTGGCAAGGCTCGTCGGCTTCGTGACATCGACCACTCGGAGGGTTGGGGCTATGTGCGATGACGCCACGTTTGGACTTTTGTGCTTCACCGCCATCATGACATGGGTTGCACAACCATGGCTTTCTACGCGCACTCGTATGGACTTCATCGAGGAATGTGATTAGAATTTGAGCGTCCAACTGCATGTGCATGGACCGGGTATCTTATGCATCCTACTACTCCGGAGTAACCCAACGCCAGACCGACAACGAAGAGAACGAGATGAAGATCATTCAGTCATCGTGGGCCGCTCGACTACACTTGATCAGCAGCTACCGATGCAGGGCTGCGTATTTCCCCTGCTGGTCTGCCAGCGCTGTCTGGTACCTCGACCATGTCCTCCACCATTCCCAGGAATCTTTGTCTATATTCATCGCTTGTCGTCGTAATGCTCATCGGGCCATGATCTTTTCCAAACTTTAACGTGTTGAAGAGTTTGACGAGTCCCGTCATCGTCTGGGCCTGGAGTGCGTCTTTTGCCCAGAAGAAGTCGAGTACGATGGCCCGGTAAACCCACTTGCCGTCGCGCGATACGACACCTGTGCGCCATGTAGATCCTCGACCAGGGGGCGGCGGCACATCACCAGAGTTCAGGTCGGCGGGATAGCGGACGAGGAATAGCGAGTAGTCAACCGCATTATTGCCTTGTAAAATCTTAGAATCCCTGGATAGCTGCGCAACAAGCTCCTCTTTCTGATCGATAGTCACTCTGATCTTGTCTTCGAATTCATCAATGAGGCGCTCCTTGACGCTCTCGGGGGCCAGGCGCCCGTTAGCCACGTCACGTTCTGGGTAGAAGTAGTCATTGGGCTTGAGGTCATACGTCTCCCATCGCTTCTGTTGGGCCTTGCTGCAGCTCGACTTCCCGTACAGAATGTTCTCCATTATTATATGATGGCTCGGCGCGGTGCCTACAGCGGCTCCGACGGTAGCTGTAGGACAGTAGAGGAGGTCGGTTATGCGGACGAGGAGGGAGTCCTCATTCAGCTCCATGTGTTCGACATAGGGCTCGAGGAGGCGATCACGGAAGAAGGATTGCTCAAACTTGCGCGGCAGGGACTTGATCAGGTACTTAGAATTAGGTGTCGTGAAGAATGTCTGATGCGCATTAGCCTGTCGTCCTCAGATGCCATGTTCCGCGCGTACCGAGCCTGAGTAGCCCAGGTCCCCAATGGCGATCAGATCGGTCCGTTTGCTCTTGCTTGGGCGGAAGCTCTCGATGTACCCTTCCTCTTCAATCTCCCATGTGTCATTCCTCAGTTTCTTGAACAGAGATGCGCGATAACGAGCGAGAGTCAGACTGAAGACAGCGAAGAAGGCATAGATGCGCGCAAATAAACCCAAGCGCGCGCTTTCATCCTTACGAGGCGAATCTGATCTGAAGATGGCGCGTAATATAGACGCGCTGATGAGACGGTCTCGACGTCCCATGTTGAACTTCAATTTTGTTGCGGTTGTTGGTAGAGTACACAGCAGGCAGCGTTGCGGACGCGTGAAACGCTACAGTCTCGAGGCCCGTGAATGTCAGGATGATGTCATTGCGCTAACCACGAGCCTCCTGGAGACAAGTCCTGTATTGTCTGCGCCTCGTATCTTCACCAGCGCGCCAAATTTCCATCAACGCAAATGTTGAGCAGCTTGCACAAAGGATCGGAGTTCCCCCCCTGTGGATGAGCAATTTCGAGGATCGGCTAGATCTGACGAGACGGCTGGCGGGCTTCTCTCTCGCTGCAGCTAACGTTTAGCACCCAGCATAACCGCCACAAAAGCGCCACAGTTCGATTTCATCCGCCGCATTCGAGGGCGTCCAGGATGGCTTCTGCCGATACGCTCTCAACCATCTTGTCTGACACGAGAGAGACTCGGTGTACCTCGTGCTCGTGTTACAGGCAGTTATTCCCGGTATCTGGTACCTTCAACGAGACTTAATCGGTGTCTTGGAGCCGTCACCAGCAACCTTGCAGAGGCACTACAATAAGAAGATCAGCTCTGTACCAAAGTTTGCAATCATCCTGAGACGCAACAAGCCGTACGGGGCATTACTAGCCTGACCTCGGGATCTCCGCGTGTTCGGCCTACTCAACTGTCAGGGACTTTGCTGGTTGTACATGGCTAGTGGATGGAGCCCGAGTACCGCTGCGAAATTTGCTCATGGCATTTACCCAAGTCTAGAGTTGGTGCTCCTTCACGACAACACGATTGCTTCAACCTCTCCACCTTGGCCGCCTTGCCTGCTTGGCAATATCACTGCATCTTGGAACCAGAGTCTCGAACGCGGAACTGGGGAACTTCAAACAAGCGAGGTATATATTGCCTCCTCGGAGTTACGCCCCAAGCGATCTCCCGCTCGGCACGTCTTCCGCTGTTTCACCCTGGGCCCTTATGTGATCGCGCTAAGCGTGCCGCTACAGCGCTGCAACGGCGAGGAGCAGCGCGATGGCAAATGCAATATTGCGACCTCAAAGAGAAGCAAATACAGCGGACAGGAATGCAGTCAGAGCCTCGAGATGGAGTCTCCGCTATGTAACAGTCTCACGAAGCTAACAGCCTGTGCAACCCGAGTTCAGATGAATATAACGGGAATTCCGACATGGTACAACCTGACCATGTATGCATCTAGGCGTACTCGTCTAACGGACTAGACCCTTAGGTCCAGGCAGTTCTTGCCCCGTCTCGTCCCGGCTATCAGTTTGACGGCTGGCACCCCACATCACTTTGCCTCTCCAGTCTGCTTCACGGTGGGAAAGTTCGCCCAGGCGCTTCAGCATCCCCTTGCGGAGGTTTCTACCCTTCCCGCCCGCAAACTACTGGATAGAGGCTGTGTATCACAGCTGCAGGGTCATCAAGCCATTGTTGACTGGCGTCGACTGGTGTGGGTCTTACCCTGCTTACTGACTACACCCAACATATAAAGCATGAGTGTCTTTCCTCGGTTTGACAGCATATTTGTACCACTTCATAACTCAAAACACTTTGCCACATCAGGTTGATACCAGGCATAGTCGCGCGTTCTCAGTACTAGTCTTCCCAAATCTGTACATTCTTTTCATCCAAGTTACTCCATCACATACTCACTGTCCACAATGGCGAGCGCAGACGTTCAGCAACCACCTGCGCAGGAAGCTGCACCCGCACTACCTGACTACCTCACAAACCCCGATGCTGTTCTGGGGGACAACGATGCCAAGTGGCGATACGGCAGAGCGCCTGATTACTCAAAAACCAGAAAGGTGTTTGCTGAGAGTAAGTTACCAAATGTGGCAACGAGCCTGCATGTCAGACACAGTGCAGTTTACTAATCATGCACAGCGAAGCAAATGACACACGAAGCCGGGTCTCTTCCTGAACTCGTACAGAATCTCGTCAAGAACTGGGAAGTCGAAGCGTCCTTCAAGCCCAACATCGACGACTGGCGTACGATCGATCGGGAAAACTACTCCTTCGCTATCAATGGCGGCAAGGCTGAAGGTGCAGAGGCTATGCTCAAGGTCGGCACATACAACGCTATCATTGCGCCGAACGAGTACTACTCGCCCGACTACTCCGACTTTGCCTCGTCACACAAGACGTTCAAGCGCATGATGCCTACCTTCGCATGGGAGGTACTAGAAGTCTACAGCGGCCCACCAACAGTCAGCTTCCGATGGCGCCACTGGGGCCAAATGAAGAATGACTACGTCGGCTTCAACAACAAGGGCGAGAAGGTGACAGCCAAAGCACACGGAGGTTCAATCGATATCCAAGGTGTCACGGTCGCGACGGTCAACGACAAGGTGCAGCTACAGTCCGTTCGCACCTGGTTCGACCCGATGGACATGTTCAGGCAGATCGCGCCTGACGGCGTCGTGAAGAAGGAAGAGAAGCCCAAGAACATGTCACCGGCAGACGCCCTCGACGAAGCTCAGGCTGGCATCAAGGCGCCTGAAGAACAAGAGCTACCCGATGAGTTTATCCAGAGCAAAGAGGAGGTCAAGGAGACGATCGAACGTCTTGATAAGATGACGACCGAAGAGAAGATGTCGACCACCCAGGGCTTGCCTGCTGACCACCCTGCTGTTTCA